CCTTGGTCCAGGAATGCACCCCCGGTACCTAAACACAGGACTTCTCTATGGTTGACAAGCATTATACCACTGAATTGATAAAGCATAACATTTCCATCTAATGCAAGCCAACTACACTGACGAAAATAAAATGTATAGAATATTTCAATATGAATGAAATGCAGGAGCTGCAGTCTGAACAGAAGCGGAAAATTTTGAATGAGATAACAGATATCTAGTGATATGTTCCACAAATAAAGAGGGTTTATGTATAGTCTAGCCCCTGAAAGTCCCACAACACAACTGAGGGGGGAACCAAAATACCTAACAAAAACATTTGAAAATCTCATTAGTTCTCCTGAATTTTGCATAATTACTATTCATGAATGAAAGCATGCAGTAAAATCTAACAATTAAAGGCAACTTGAAAACAAGAAGTGACTTAAGTTAAGTATGCCAGAAAGGAGTGGTAGCAAAAACAAGTGATACGAAGCAATCAAGAAGTCACTGTCCAGCAAACTTGGACAGGACACACTTTAAGGAGAACGTTGAGTGACTTCGTACACTAGACCGTCGAGTATAACCCGAATAAGAAATGGCGAGTTGGGGAAACAAAGTGAAGTGGGGGAGATCATGTGAGGAGGAGACGAGAACCTGTGGGCAGTAGTGAAGTCAGCCAAAGAGGACTGCATTGAACAGAGTGGAACAGGGATGTGCGGTTACAGCTGAATGTTCCACTAGAAATCCAAGGAAATACAAAATAATAATTTAAGTTTGAGGAGCACCCTGATTGTCGAGTTATAAATTACTAATGGAAATAGTAGCACTTTGCTAAAGGCCTCTTCTTTTTTAATATGGTTTAGACAAAATTTGTCCTGAAATGAAACAGAGACAAAATGCGACTACCGATTGTGCAATTTTCAGCGACTTTGTTCTATTCTTTATACACTACTTCAAATGGCCAGTCAAAAGAATGAGCCGAATACAAAGAAACATGAAACCGAACATCAGAGAGCAAAACTGGTGAAATTGATGTGGTGTAATTTAAGGAAAAGGGACAAATTGTTTCTAGACTAATGAGAAAAGAATATAAGAAGACAAATGATGAATATTTTGTAATATTTCAAAAGACAAAGCAATTCATGCTTACGTTGAAAATAAATAAGTAATCAGACAAAGGGAATGATAAATATATTTACACTTGAAATGATAGAAATGTGGCACTCATCATCTCAATGAAAGGACAGGTGAAAAAGGATTAAAAGTCAAGTTAGTGAATCAACCTTTTTGAGAACAAAATAAATCAGAAAATAAAAGAGTTAGAGGATAGAATAAAGAGGAGTGCTGGATCACGAGGAGCAAGAAACTGTAGGATTTGTTGAGTCAGGCAAGGAATGCGAATTCATCCTGTTTATTCAGAAGGAGAGGAACAGTGAATTATATTTCATTAACACAGCTCCAATTTCAAACACTCCTTATTTGAAGTCGGTTAAGATTTCAACTGACTGAAACTCAGTGGTTAAACAGGGTCACTTGTTGTTGTAGTCTTGATCACTCTGGGTATAAGGGTACGTAGATTTCATCTCTTCTTAACTGTGCGTCTCTAACAAGATACCGTAGACATTGTAACGTATAAATTATCTGCCTAGCTCAAACAAAAAATCCGTAAATCAGCCACTCATCGAAATCACATGTGCAAATATATGCACCTATTACCTTCGAAATCACCAGCTGCGTACTACGTATTCAGTCCTAAAATCAATTAGGTTCACCAATAAGTCAAAGTGTATGTGGCCTCCTCCATTCGACGTCATTCACTTCACCATATGGATAAGTGACTTTCCATTTCACCTACCTCATTTCAAAGTAATGATAACCTACCAGTTCTCATAATAAAGTGAACAGCGAAAACGCACTGTGACGGTAGTAGAATCCTGAAATAAGTGAATAATAAATCTATGGAGCTGTGAAAAGACGCCTTAATGTAGAATTCGAATTCTATATGTAGTCCATTTCTCCTACTGTTCGTTCTTCACTTCAAAAAGTAGAACAGAGATCAGTTCAACATATACATAAAAATTAGTTATTCTTGCTACACTCACTCTCTAGTCACTTAGCTCTCATTTCGATTGTCTACAACGGAATATTTCTCTTAAAATAATGTTCCATTTCTTACACTGTTTGTTGACAAACATCTTGACTGGAAAACCTAAGGAGTTACATATTCGCATCGATGAGAAGTATCCAAGTATGGCGAAGTAAATACTGAGTTTGTCTGATGGAGCCCAGTGGCTCCCTAACTGCAATCATGCCATCGCAGTTTAATTATGGTCTGCTTATCTGCTCAGAGTGGACCCCTTTAATTGCGATATCTAACTAACATGGTTTGTGTTTTCCGATAGATTGAAAAGACTTCATTCTTATGTGTCTTCTCAGACAGATTTTCAAGTAGTGTAGTTTCTAATTCAGTTGTCTGCATTCAATCTATTTCATTGGTTGTTTATCTTATATCAAAGTTCGTGTTTCAATTCATCGACATCAATACGTTTGCTCACATAAATTTGCCTTGATTGGTTTTCAAATATACTGACATTTTAAAACCTAATTGCACATTTATTCAGCAATTCCTGCAATTAATACAATTCTGAAAATGATAACTTCATCAAACGAGGGTAAGTTTTAAGTTTTTATATGTGAATTCCATTGTACACTTGGAAGTATATTCTGGGAAGTTTTATCTCCAGTCCTTATAGTCGTAATGCTCACATGAGACTATTCATCATGGTGACGTATTTTCCATGACCTCATTTTATGTTTCATGTCAACGTGGTGTAGTTGATGAACAACAGGAACAACTAAAACTTATTCAAAAGAGATGGTATCCTCCACATATCAGTGATATATTGGCTTTTCTCTTACAAACGTTTGCAAGGCTCAGTTTGATACATGAATGAATCACCGATTTGTTGCTTAACATTTTGAGACGATGCGTAGTAAGTCGGCCACTTTCAAAATCAATTATTCTTTATTCCCTAACTGAATAGAAGATTCCATTCAGAATTGGACAGCCATATACTCAATGAAATAGGACAGGAATGCAGTCACTCACTGACAGTGTAGAAGGGTGGCGAATGGAAAGTATATCTGAGGGAAATTTGACAGTATGAATGAGTCATAACATGCTCACCATAAATATGGATATTTTCGAAATCAAGATGTTGAAGTTGTCATGAGAAAGAACATTAGATTGCTCTAAATTGTAACGTGACACCTATATTTATCCCTTGAGTTATCTTAGGTATCTTAACTTTTGTCAAATTATTGGACCAATGAATCTGAAATATCTCTCTGGAATATTCAGATTTGAAGACTCCAGACAACAGTGCTTCCATATACTTAGAAATCATAGATTTATATATATCAAGATTCTCCATTTTGACTGGTCGACTGGGTTTTACTTCCACATAGTTTGCGCACCACTCAACACTATTTCGAATGTGGGGTAAATATCGGTCCGATAACTGTAATGTTTATTTTGAAAATCACTAAATTAATTCCACAACTCCACTCAAAATAGCACCCCTACAATGAATTCAGATGGTGAATAGTGTATGCAAATCCGATTTGGTCTCCACAGAGACTGATGCAAACTGTCAACCATCACGACTTATCAGAAATAGAATAATCACAATCAGAATAGACTGACTAATTTATTACTTGTCAACACCATGTTGGTTCGTGCAATACCAAACTTGAGGAAAACACACAGGTTCCAGACACCTAACGAGAATGTGTTTTCATATATCTTCATACATTAAACAAGTTCTGTGACACATACACACACTTACCGTCTATCATTCAACATTTGACATAATTGTTCACTTAATGTCGGAAGTCAACACTGTCATTCTGAAGATTCTATTACAATGTGACTATACACGAAAGGTTAGGCAATTACATATTCCTAATCAACTCACTAAGCAATGTAAGGGTTGTATTACTGGGTGATGGTTACTAGTGATGAGTGAACATTTTTATCTCAGCTGACTGTAGATGCGAATATCTGTGTTGAATAAGTTGACTTTGCTCTCCGAAAGGTTATCTCGATAGTTGAGGAAAGGCTCACTGACTGACATGTGGTAAATAAGAGCAACTGTCATATCTACTGATCTTTACTGCAGTATGAAGAGTCTTCGGAACACTGTGAGTGGTACACTTTCAGAATGTTTGGCGTAAGACTCTGTAATATGCAATGTATAATGATGCTAGAGAACTGCTCTTCAAGTATTTGAGACACTGACATCATATATTTCACCTGTGACAACAGTGAAATCTGAATATCCAGAGAGCTCAATGTGTATCAACTCAATCTGTATCACACCTTGTTGTTCTCTTTTCCAGTTTTGAAACTTGGTAGTTTTAAAAGAAACGTTTAGTAGATACGCAATTGCGTGAATGCTCTAGTATAAGTAGTAAAATCGATAAGAAAAATGATATAAACGGATTCCATGTATTCAACCATTTCGTTAGAGCTGTATTCTTGAATCACTAATTCTCGAGTAGTCCATTGTAAAGGGATGTAATTCATAGGCTCACATCACCCTCTTTAAATGAGGCTACCATCAAATTTTCTTCTTTTCTCCTTTTTTAATTTGTTATGAACCATTTGAAAATGTCATCAGTCAAAAATGAAAAGCAAACAATCCTCCCACCTACTCCAACGGACGAACTGCCTTCAGATCAAGATTCAATGAATTCACCAAGTAACACAGAAGTATGTTGCCCATTGTTATCACTTATAACCGAATTAACTAAGTCTGTTTCTAATCAGTTTCCTGTTGAACAAAGGACCAGGGAGTTCATTTGGAAGGTATGTGCTGCATTTTTGAAGTCCATTCATTTTTTAAAGACTTTCATCATAGTAGCAGTACAGATTACAATTGTTTGGGAAATCTGCGCTCTCGTGTTACTTGTGTAAGCTACGTGTTGTTGACTAATTATGTTAACGAAATGTTTTCCAGTAAGCAACTTCATGAATGGATGTTAGAGAGTTCTTGGTTTTCATGGATGTGCGGGTACGTCTAATACTCATATTTTATCCATTCCTAATATATCACCCTATTTATTATACACCCCATAATTTGGTACACCATTGACAATAAGGCCAAAAGAAAGTCATTGAATAAGCCATTAGGATTCAATATAGTGAGGTGGAATTGAGCTTCTGTTATAGCAAGCTATCATTGACATTGAAACCACCATTCCACCAGGTAGACAATCGATACTGATGGTAGACTGAATAGGAAACACTGCAGAACAAAAATAATCAACGGATTGCAATAAAAACTCAGTATTTCATTTCAACCAATATTGTCTCAAAAATCAAAAGTTTCAACTGTGATAGCTGAATATGTTGTATTATTATATGAGATATGATCTTGCATTTGAAAATGAAAACTTATTCATTTCAGTGCTGCAAATCTGTCAGAATAAATAGTAATTGTTATCACAGTGACCAGTTTTACACAGCTACCCATCATTCGAAAAAACACAATCAAGTGTAGTTTAAGTATTCTGGTAGCAATCGTCATTTATAAGAGATGTCAATCCTCCCCTATCCACATCCTGTACAACTTGATCTGCAGAATCCAAGTCTGTATAACTTTCATCAATTTTGTTTGTAACAATACAGAATTCTGGGAACAGTTCTACAACTGGAGATGCTGCTAATACCGCAGTTACAGTTCGCTTTTCCCTACAATTATATCTACTTGATAATTGCTGTAAGTCGAGTACGTTTTGTCATTCATAATTTAAAGTCAACTGGTTTTATGACAGTACAATATTCACAATGATATTTTCCTCTTGCATGTCTGAATGTTAAATGTTTATATAAGGACATGTTGCGCTTGTTGCCTTTCTTGTAACTCCACATAAAAATCATGCAATATATTTAAAAGAAACAGACAAGGGATAATTTTTACACTGAAATAAAGAAAGAAGTCGTGTTATCCCTAAGAAGCAAATTCAGAGCTGAATATCCTGACGTCTAGTTGTATCTAATTTTGGAATATGAAAGAAATAGCGATAAACTAGGGTTTATACTTTTTCAACTTACTGGAACAACGAGTAGTAGAAATATTTAAGGAACTGCAGTCGCTCTTGAAACGCTCTCTCAATAGTAGGAAAACATCAGTGAATTATAAGAGTGTAGGAAATGTGTGTGATCAGGTTTCAACATACATCGTCGAAGGTAGAAATTAAGCTATTGGCTGAACACGATTTCCTAATTATTTTCACAATAGACGTACGTTTAGTCCCTTGTAGTATCGTTGCAGTTAGAGTGTACTTGTGGTTGAATCCAATCGATCATATTTGGCATTGCAGAATGAACTGAAGATAGAAATTTGGAGGTACATATGGCAACAAATGATTTATTTGAAACCTAAAGACAAGGAATTAACTCTTCGTGCCACCTAACACTTATTAATTAGTTATTTCCGACTGACTGGATAAATACATTCTGGGAAATAGAAAGAGACCCACGGGATGAATACATCTTCGCAATTCGTTTCATAAGTGACAAGTCTCAACTTTGTGGTAATGTCAGTGTTAAGGAACTTAATCTTAAGTTCCTATTCTTTCCGAAGACGCTCTGAATCGACGACCACTAAGCACAGATATCGATTTTAATTCCAAAACCCAATGAATGACAAGAAATTGTATTTGTAAGCGCAATATCGCTTGAAATTAAGTCACGCGTAGATAAAGGCTATCCAGGTCCAGAACAAACAAGAAGCCGGTCACTGTTTCTACGGCACTATTAATTAACAAATCAATAAATATATATACAACAAACCTTAACGGTTTCAAGAGTACAATACACAATGCTTAACAGAAAGCAAGGAACCGCTATCAGAACGGAATAACGTCAAAGCCAAAATTAAGAACTAGCCGGATCAGACACGACCGTTCGGGTAGGCAGTCAGTAGAAGAATGAACCCAAGTAAGAGGTAGACAAAGCATAGGCACAAAGATAGAATTCAATTGGCTACTTAACCATTCAATAAATAAGATAAATTCAACAGAAAAATACAAAGTAAGACATGGGTCAGCAAAATAACAGTTCACAAAAATACTCTGATTGGGTCATGAGTTCAACTGTCTGACTAAACGGATCGAAGTAAGAACACACACACACACACAGTTCATTAAGCAAGGTGGGTTAGACACGTTAGGCATGGATAATTGTGTTGCAACAATGCTAGGCTGATCCGGGACAGGTTGACTTGATTCAAGGATGTGAATTGAATTGATCTTACAGTATTCTTTGGCAGTTAAAATCAATACTCTGTACTAAGTCTATAAAAAAATGTTTTACAAGTAACGTATTGTACTTTTATTCGTATTCTTTCGTCTTCTTCTAAACTGTACACAACTGAATTATTCACGCCTTCAAGTTACCCGCCAGTGGTGACCAAGCGCAATGAACAAACGTCCAATGTTCGTAATCACTGACAATCAGAGTGAAACCAACCCCATGTTGGTTAGGTTCTGTAGTGTAACTATTATTGTACCTGTTATTGGCATGCTGTTTGAAGTGATTCAGTGTATGTATGCCTTATTATGGTTCGTCTGTAATCTATAGACCAAGGTTTACCGCATTTTTCCTCTTGTCTTCAACCAGTAACATCAGTTCAGAATACTCATTCATTTCCGGAAATACTTTTCGGTAACTGTTGTATTTCATCTCTTCATTATTGTTTGCTTCTCCTCTTTCTCCCCTCTAGACAATAATCATTGCCTTTCCTGCAGCTGTTCCACTCATCGACTTACAATTCTGGTGGACATTTGTCACATGGATCATTACTGTGATTATTGCAGGGATTGTAGTTGCTGTTAGTGTCGTCAACAGATTCGATATACTCAAAAGTTTTGGGGAGTTCATACTTGCCACATTCCTTGTGGAATTATCCTTTGTTATAATATTCTTCCCTTTCATATTCTGGCGAGAATTTGATGTAAGTAATCAGATGAACTGTGAGTTGCTGCTAATTTAAAATTATCTGTCACTAATGAAATGTGCTAAAAGAATTTGATACAGCTTACCGACTGTTAGTCATCCAGGAAAAGAAGGTAGAATGGGCTTGAAGCTGGGAGAGACACCACATGTAAGCCAGAAGTATCACTACTGAAACTTTAAAGCATGGATGAAAAATCTCTTTCACTCTGGAATCAGCAGAAAAGTATAAAGCAGAAAAGTCTCTGGCAATGATAGCTTCTTGACGTCAATCAACCTATCCATCTTTCTTCGATGGAAAGGAAATGGAGGACATAGAACACTTACAGTATAATTAAATCTGACAGGACTGCGCTGACAGCAGTATCAGCAAGGAGACATCATATAGAAATTTTAGATACCTGTAAGGGAGATAAAATGACAGTGGAAACTCCACTGTCAATAGGAGACGCTGTAATCTACTTCTGTCATCCAGATTTCAACAACGAGCACATAGAGTCTATGGCTATGATGTTGTCCTTAAAAGTATCGAAGACTCTTGTGTAGGGGAAGTCAGCCACCTACAGGGTAATGGCAACAAGATTCGAATTGGAAGGTGGGAAATTTGCTAGTAGATTAAACTATTGCTTGTCCCTTATGGACAGTTATCTCAAATATGCCTTGAATTTATACATGCAATGACACTTCGGTTCTTGTTCCGTGTGCCAGTTGTTTTATTGTTTCGCGACCACTTTCAGAGCAAACAACACCTCTGTGTATCGCCTTTCCGATCCTAACTGACTATGACATTCTCATCCGTGACCCCACCTGTAGTTAAAACGATTCTGACTTGATCAGGTAAGTGGAATGACAACCCTGCTTGGATTCCTCCAAGTAATGGTGATTGAGGTTCGTTGTGTTTATGCTCGGACGTCTTCATCACTTTTGATTTTTGACTTACTCATTCTAAGCCTGGCTAGACAGGGGTCTAACAATAGCACACTCTCATTCTCTGCCTTAATTTGGAAGCAGAAAAAATATACTGAAACGTACGTGGAATATCATGATTCCTTCGGTTTCCCAGTTCACCGTTTGAATGCAGAATGGGGATAACAGTAAATGGGATTAGCATGTCTGTACATTCGAAACATCCCATGAACTATTATTACAATTTATAAAATGTTTCCTAACACTGATCTCAGTATATAATTAACTGACGTGAAGGCTAATGTAAAATAATTTTTTCTCGACAAAACTCACAATCAGATTTTTGTGTATTTTGAGCTAAATCATTAATTTGATCCACCACTCTCTTGACAGATACTCATAATACTGTGTGGATTCGCCATGATGTGGACGGTTATTTCGGTACGTTTATCAGTTGATCATTTGTAAATGAGATTAGTACTTTTGCAAATGAAGCTGGTTGTTGTCACTTTAAGGGTTCAAACATGTACTGAATGAAGTAGATAGCTGAAGTAGTTGATGCACGTTTAGCTTAAAATACTAAGGAAATTCTTATTCTACGAATTTTATATGGGGGATAAATATACTACAACTGTTGTGCCTCATGTTGCTCTGCATTGAAGCTTCATTTTACTTCTTTCGCACAGTCCATTCATTGCAAATAGGAAATGAATGTCACCCTAATGTTTCTCACTAGTTGTGAGTTCTCCTGCTGAAGCGTGAAGCTTGTACAAACTGTTTACGAATACACAGAGTCATCCATCAAGCTACCTTAAGTAAATTTATTGTCATCAGCTACAAGTAAATGAGTATCAAGACTTCCATTTCGTTCTTTCATGCCGTTATTTCCCATATAACGTAAACAAGCACATCAGTATTCCACGGATATTGAACCTCACGTTTAAATTTTTATACAATGTTAGTCACATAGAGCTAGTAGCTCCTTGCCTCAGGATAACTAACAATTCGTAAAGAATAATATCGCATTGTATATGTTCACTGACAAAATTCAATCACTGTTTACCAGAACCTGAAGGGATACCATGTCAGTGATATGACTGCTTCGTTACTGCTCGATCTGAACTTAAGCTTAAACTTAATGTAATTTCA